CCCCTTCACAATCTAACCATTCCTCAGAGCTCCAGCCCGTCTCCTTAGGTCAATTGCTACTTTACAGCAACATGAGACACCACTAACCCCGTAGAATCTCAGTAAAACTTCACATGCGTAGCATCTGGCATGCGACTGCAGAATGCTGCAGCAACATAAGATGCGGAACTCGACACGCTGCTGCTTCGTACTTCAGCGACACACAACATCAGGTACAAACTACGCTCTGCTACAGATCCCCCTCTCCACAGTTGTTGATGAGAACGACAACATACGAGTTAAAACAGGTAGGCCACTATTCCAACTTCCTGGCCCAATCACTTTATGTAATAGCCTGAATGGCGCCCGGGATCGGATACGGTGCCCCCCCCTTTTATTCGGTCCTTGTCAACATCCGGTCCACCGCTGGGCTCACACCGTTCCAAACTGCAGGATGAACAGTACACCAATTACCAAACACACTTGCAGCCCCTTCCGCAACTTCGACAACGAGCAACAGCCTTATGGCCAGACCCTCTCTACGAGGCTCGACGTGATGGGCTACGCATAGGCCAGCAGACGGACCCTCACCTCCGCAATCTGTTTCTCAGATTGTCTCACCCGACCTAGCGCGGCCTCCACGTAAGTATCCAATCCACTCTTGGACTCACATTGCCTCAATCACCAGTAGGGGCAAGTCGGGATGAATTGCTTGCAATACCGCAGAATTATACACTGCTCCCAGTCGGGTAAGTATTTTTCCCTCCTACTTCCTCTAAATTTCTGGCCAATATCTCGGTCGGATTCGTACACCCCCTTTGGTGTCTGCGCTGAGAAAACACCCATCTCTTCTCCTTACACCTTTTCTCTGAGCAAAATTGATGGACTCTACGCTTAAACATGACCGGATACACCGCCGGGCTCTTCCAAACGCCTCTAAATTTGATGTTATAGCTCAAACTTCGGCTAGTCTCTCTTCGACAGTCGTGTTGCGCTCACCTCCAAATCACCTAGTACGTTTCTGTCTCTCTTTCTCTCTCTCTCTCTCTCTCTCATGCAAATGGATACATTTATCCATCCGTTCGACCAGATTCGCCCAGGCTAGGGAGAAGGAAAATCACGAGCAGCACAGTCAGATAATTCAGCAGAGCGACGGGGTGGAGTATGGCGATGATCGACAGCTCCTCGGTGACGACTACAAACCCGTGCATAAAGACATGATGACGACCCCAATGAGCTGCTCCGCCCGGAAACGTCCAAGGTGAGAACGAATGAATCTTTTCCTTTGTTTTCGATTCCATTGCCGGAAAACATAAAAATAACGGAGTATTTTCCCCAAACTCAAATGCTGCGAAAAACAAGGAAATTAAGGAATATTACGTTTTTCTCTTTCCTCCTACTGTTCTCAATCTCTTCTCCCATCTTTGATTTAGATACAAAAAATGACAAAAAATTGAGGCGCTATTTTGACCCCGATCATACGCTGCAAAGAACGTCGCAACGGGGTTAGTCCCCGCGATGCCCCCTCGCGGCAGGCCAATTCGGGTCTAACCCTCTGAACGGCCGGAAATGACGGTCCGTTGATGTGCCGAGTGCGACCACCCATCTTGCCATTTTTTAGGGTTACCCGTAAGGTTCAGCGCGCCCAAAATCAAGGGCGCCATGAGGTCCCCTAATCTCCGCTGCCTGGTCTAACCAGAGTACCGTCAAAACTCAGACTCGTCTTCGCGCCTAAGTCCCAAAACCGTAGATTTCAGGCGGCGCACTGCTTGTGGCCGCCTGACAGCTAGCCCGAACCACTTCTCGACGCCCCCGTCGAGCCCTAGCAACTTACGTCAGACGAAGCGGATGAGCTTCAGGGTTATGGCCCGTAAAGGACACCCACGTCAGCGCTCAATTGTCTTATGTTTAAGTTTGTTACGAGTCCTGGGGCTAAGAAGATGCTTCTTGATTCTCCAGTTTCTTCTGGTTTTTGGTCCCGACACGATCCTCTTTTTCTTCTGTCTTTGCCCCGAGAAGGGTGTCGACCCGCCAGTACGTCTAACGCGAACTCTCCGTCTAGCTCGCTTGAGCACGAATAACCATCTCTTCTCTCTTCCTAAAGCTAACCCTTTGACCTTTCTCTTCTCTATTCTTTTCCTTTTCATGGAACTCTCCCCTGCCTCCATCATGGCTTTCCCTTTCCCTTTCGGGCTGGTTAGCGATAAAGCGGGCGTGGGCCTGGGCCTAAACAGCTTTAACCTAGCCCCCGCCATTGGGTCCTTCCACTTAGATCCGTCTAGTTCTGCTATCATATATGCACCCCAGTCAAGTGCCTCAACCACTCTGTAAGGTCCCATCCATCTATTGGCAAGCTTTCCGGTCCAGGTCCTCTCCAGTGCCGCGTCGTAGAGAAGGACCATATCTCCTACGCTCACCCTCTCTTTCCTGATTCGGACGTTCTTATCCCATCTCTCTTTACCCTTATCCCTTTCCGCCGCCAGACGATCGACTGCTGTCATGAGGTTGTCTTCCAACCCGTAGGCTATCTGTCTTGTTCGGGCAGCTAAGAGTTCCTCTCTGGACATCTCCTCTGCCCAGTCGACGGTTGTCCAACTGTCGACGTGAAACTCTATGGGAAACGGACAATGTCGCCCAAACCACAAGGTGTACGGTGGGTATCCGGTACTAGCCCGGACCGTGACGTTGTCCGCCCATATTGCGTATCAAAAATATCGTGGCCAATCACTGTCCTTACCCTTGCACCACTTGGATAGTGACGCTATCAGAGTCTGGTGTCCCCTCTCTACAGGGGAGTTCGACTATGGGTGATAGGCGGTGGCTATCGAAACTCTCGCACCAGCTCTCCTAAACACGCTCCGAACCTCGTCGGCTAGGAATTCGGCCCCTCTGTCCATCACTATCTTGCTGACACAACCATACCTAGATAAGTACTCTAGGACAAAGTTCTTTACTTCCTCTGCCGCCTTACTCCTGATAGGTCTACCGTCCACGAACCCAGTAAAATCGTCTCGTATGTTCACGACGTAGTTCATATTGCCTACCCCTCTCGGCATTTTCACTAGATCGATGTGTACCTTCTCTCCTGGTCTGGTCGGATAGGATGGATGAAGTGGCTCTTTGTATTTCACAAGAGCTCTCTTCTAGCACTCTTCGCATGTCATACAATACCTCTCGACGTCCTTATACTGCCCTTCCCACCAGTACAGCCGGCGTGAAGTTCCGCAACTATCGTCTGTCTCTCCTCAGGATCACAGACTACTCGTAAGAGCATTCCCGACCCTACTGGCCTTCGGAAAAGGTGGCCCGCTCTAAGGCAGTACTGGGCTGCTTGCCTCCGGATTTCTGAATCTTGACTCTCCTCTCCCGTCAGGTATAGTCCGATCATTCGGTACTTGCGCGCCTCGGCTCTGCCATTGTCAGAGCCCCAGCTACTATCAGACGCTCGAGAGATGCGTGAAAGTCCATCTGCCACGGCATTCTTAGTACCAAATACTCTCCCAACCGTGTAATCGTATAGCCGAATCCGTATTAACCATCGGGCGATGGTCGGGTCCGTCAGACTAAAGTCCTTCTCGAGAACAAAGGCAACCGCGGTGGGGTCTACTCTCAAGATGAACCGTCGCTCATAGATATAGTGTCTGAACGTGTCTAGACACCGGAGAACTGCTAACACTTCCTTCTTGAATTGACTGTAGTTACGCTCGACCATATTAAGTGTCCTACTCTCAAATCTTAACGGTCTTTCCTTCCCTCCAGCGTCCTTCTGAGACAGCAAACCACCCACTGAACATGGTCCAACATCCGTGAATACTATGAAGGGTCTCTCGGTCTCATCGTCAAAGAATGGAACACCCAACATGCGTCCTCCTTCCTTAAATTCGTCTTTAAGTTCTTGCATCGCAAGTTCCTGCGAAGAATTCCAATAGAAGTTTTCAGTCTTTCGAAGGAGTAACCTCAACGGCTCAGCCTTCTCCGCATACCCCCGTATGAATAT